AAATTAATTATATTATAATTAAAATTATACAATTGAATTATATAATTATATAAGCAGTAAAAGAAATATATGATAGAGTGAAAAAAACAAAGTTTTCGACGGAGTTTAGCTATTTATGCTTTCCAATACTATTAGCGGCAGCAAATATAAATTTATTTAGATGTAAACTGCTTGATAGAAATTTAAAAAAATGCCCAACTCTAATAATTGTTTATGTCCCATTTAAAAACAGTCTTTTAGTAATATTTTATACGTGTGTGTGTGTGTTTGTGTGCATATAAAAGCTTAAATGTGGAACTTAAATGTTTACATTTTGACTAGTCTTGTAATATTATCTTGTTTAATATAAAAATTATTAATATCTTGAAGAAACACACGAAATTGATACAAAAAGAAATTAATAAAAGAAGAAGTCTAATTGTTACAATAATTTCTTATAACAAAATATATACAAATTAGAGTGCGTTCGCTTTAGACGCTCACGCTCTTTGAGCGCGTCAAGTTTATCTCTGTTCTACATTTAAAAAACAATAAAGACGGACTGATGTTTAAAACACGTAAGTACCCAAAGCGAACGCAGTCATAATATGAAATATTAATCAGGAAATTATGTACGTATTATATTTATGACTGGAAGCATTTGTGAAAATGGAGCAAATGAAAACCGCATGACAAAAACTAATATAAATTTGATATCTTCTAGTGACACAGTCAACAGTTATATTATTCGAGTGGACTTGAAAAGTCTCTTTTATTATGTAAACCTCTTGACGGTTATTTTTTCACCACAAAGAGAATCTGTTTTTTTTTTTGTGTGTAACAGAGTTTCACATAACGCATGGATGTAAAAAATATTTAAAACCTTGAAGTCTTTATATACAAAACTTCGTGAAAAAATCGATTGAAAAAGGACTTAAAATCGAATACATATTAAATAAAATGCTTCATTAGAAATTAATTTTAGAGACTCCAGAACAAGAAATGTTTAACTTTTTAGAAGATATCAAGTTTTGTGGTGCTTTCTTGCGAGATTTATTTGTGTGTCATTGTCTTATTATAATTGTTATATCTCTAATGGTCAACACTTCGTTGAATGTTTAAATTCAATTTAATAAATAAAATTTTTTAAATACTTTCTTTTAATATTTCAACTCTTACAGTCGAGTTCCTCGTGAATTAAATTCTCTTAAATCTACTCTATTGAGTTAACTCTCATTAGTTAAGTTCTTCGCTCGTGTTGACATCCTACTATCGTATTTTCGCGCAGATCACGTATGCGCAATAAACATAACCTTACATATGCATGTCAAGCAAAACAAAAAAAAAACTTAAATCAGATGATTGAACACGTTAATCCGAGCATAAGAGAAAAAATGTCAAACACGACTTTTAACAAAGAGTGGAGGAACTTAAGTAATGAAAAAAAAACTCTTGTTTTCCGACAAATTAAGTCACGGGAAACTCTGCTGTGAGGCGCATATTTTTTTTTCTCTTTTATTTCTTTTTCCCACTCTTCGGCGAGAGTTGTGCTTAATCGAGTATGTAAAATTAGATTCACTTTCGCGTATGCGATGTTAATTAATTAATAGTAGAATAGTACGAGAGAATAACATAAAAATTGGTTTGTTTGTTGAGTTTTCTTTTTCCAAACTTGTAGAATTGCACTAATTCTGAACCAGAACAGGAGAATTTGAACAAGTACAAGAATTCAAACAGGATATATATAAAGAACATCATAATGCAACCATCATCATAATCAATTGCGTTGTATATTTGTATACTTATTTTCTTCGTGATATTTGTACCGTTTTTTATAGAGAATAATTTGTAAATTTAGAACATTTATTTTAACTTATGATTTTTTGTTAAATAATATTTCACTAATTGTAAAATTGATCTAAAAACTTGTTTTTTTTTTCTAAATTAAAATTATTGTCGTTCAGTATACGATATATAACAGAATGTTTATGCAATATACTATTTTTAAAATATCTTACAAAAGACGTTTGTTAATCGATCCATTACTCCATCACTCGATCTATTCTCAGATGCGATATAAATTAATTTTACAAATGTCACGTCGAGACTTATCACAAATGTATGTTAATACATTTGTATGCAAAATGACAAAAAAATCAATGTTTATTTATGTATTTATTTAACAAGACGTCAGTTGTTTTTGGAAAAATTAACGATAAAGTGAAATGTAGTTACTTAAGCGTTTTTTTTTTTTTTTTTTTATGTTTTTGTATCTTTGCGCTCATTTTATGACTATATTCTTGCACTAGTTAAACACTTGAAACAGAGTTCAGAACTAGAGCAAACTGCTATACTTCGAAAAAGAACAGTCTATTGAAATGTTCGATAAAAAGAAAATAGAAAAAGAAGAAACTTACTGTGCGAATTATGTGAGAAAAGCGGAACTCTGCTGTAATATTTATATACTTTATTTTTTTTTTAATTATCTTACTTTTTTAAAGTCGCAAAAATTATTTATGTTTCTTTATTCTATACAAAACAAAGTTTCCTTAACTCTTTCGCTGCGGAAGATTAAAAAAAAAAACACGAAGGGTTTGCTGCAAGCAATAAAGTTACAGTTACAATTGATGCTGGGTACTATATAACATTTTGTCAGCACACGATATGTGCATCAATAGCAGTGAAAGAGTTACTTGTTGAGTTAAAATCAATGTAATATGACATGTTATTAAATAATCTACTGTCTCTTTGCATTGTAATTTATATATAAACAAAGAAGTACGAGAGGCAATTAATAAAGTATTCAAAACGACTCATAGATAGCGACATTATTATCACATTGCTGTTGACAAGTTTTATACTTCAAACAGAATGTCAAACATTGTTGCTGATTCGGATACTTCGATCAATCGCACCCTCGTACTTCTTTGTAGCAGGGCGTGTCTATACAAGAAACAATTTCTTTTCTGGAAGATTTAAAATCTTTCAAGAATTTCGATATTTCATATTTTTTTTTTTTTTTTGGTTCAAATTTCCTATCAATTTTCTGTTTATACAATATAATTATACAAAAAAAAAACTAGTCACTTGTTTTCAAATATTTGTATTTTAAGACTTATCGAAAATCAAATAGGTGGCAAGTTTTTAAATAATAAATTACCTTAGCGTTAAATAAAGTAAAAACTCATAAAATCACAACCTTAAACTTTTTTTGATAGATTCTTCTTTGAGTAGAAAAACTTCTTAAAAAGAATCCTTCTTTTTAGACCACAAAAACTTTTTTTTATAAAACTTTCTTTTCTTTGAGAAATGGTTTTTTTTGTAGATATTTTGCAGCAAAAACAAGTGCAGTGAATTTGAAGAATGAAAATTAATTATTAAACATTAGTGTTTTTTTTTTTTTTTTTTTTTTTTTTTATAAAGAGATATTACCAGGTGTACTATACTGTCCCTTTCTAGAATGTGTATCGACTGCTCTGACTGCGAAATAATAATTGTTACCCTCAGAAAACTGTAAAAAGAAGATAATTGTTTTTCATAGTATCGCGCATTCTAAAATAAACAAGATCTACTCTATTCTCTAAGATCCTGATAAATTAGAAAATAGATGTTATATTATTAATTAAAAATTTACCTGAGTCAACGTGCACGCCATAGGTAGCGGTAGTGCCCGCACATCGCCTACTTTTTTCCACAATGATGTACTAGCATTTACACCAGGTATTTCTTGATACGCGTATAACTGATAACTCACGATATCTGCATGCATATCCGACAAAGACATGTTCCAAGACAACACTATACCTGTTTAAAACATGTGACATTGCTGTTATATTAAGGATTTCAGCGATATAACTCTCTCATTCTTCTTTCTCTCTCTTAACTTAATTATATAAAATTAAAAAATTTATATAAATGTTTACCATTTGAGACTTTTGTGATTTTTAACGACGGAGCAGGCGGTGGGAGTTTCCATCCAGGAATTACTGTATAAGCCGGAGTATCTGGTAACGGCGCAGGATGCTGAATTAAAATTATAACTTTTTAATTAATAAACAAACGTTGCGCTAACAAAAGTAACAATTGACAAGAGAACTTATCTACCTGTAAATTTGGCGGAGTGGCTGTATTTACCACGCGCACATTACCGTTCGCAATTGTTGAAATGCCTACAAAAAAAATCAAAAAACGATATGATGTAGGACATCACATCAAGCAGTATATTTCGCTCAACTAAAATCAGTGAAAAATGACAAACGCGTTTGTAAACAACAATTCATGATGAGAAAAAGATCAAAAATAAATGATTGCGCGATATACTACATAACCTCACTCTATAAGTTATTTTCATTTTGCGCATGCGTGATCATATAACGAATGTGTTAGAAGTGGGGGGTGTCAGCACAAGAAGAGTTTACTTTAGTGATCAGAAGTCTCTCATTTTAGCGGTGTTTACTTTAATAAGAAATTTTGATTTGTACATTACCTGCACCCGCTTTATAAGTAACAGTTGAGAACGGTCTATTACATGTAGTTACCGGTCGTATCTAAAAACAACAAAATATTTGAATGTTTTTCTTACTTTTAGAGAAAGCATTTTCAAAACTACTAATAATTTTACTCATTTAATTATAGAAGAAAATACGATAATTATCCGAAGTAACGCATGGATAGCAACTACCAGAGATATCAATTTGAACTCATAAATTTTAGCATTACAACAATTCAATAGTGTGAGCTGACGCGTAGACAAAAGTCATTAAGAATATATCGTCACTCCCTACGTATAATCCCGTAACTCCAAAACGCAAATTTTAAAAGAGAGCAGTTTAAAAGTTTGAAGCTTCATATAATTTCCCTAGTTAAGGGATCTTTCGGTTTTAAATTTTTACCTTACTTATGAATATTTTTTTTTAATACTTGGTGACCACAAAGAACATGATTTTCTGAGTGTCACTATGCAATAAACTGAAAATCCCATATGTGACACTTATGTAATTATACGTAGGGAGTGACGATATCTACTTTGACAAACTCTATCATACAAACACTACGTGTGATGAGCCATTGTTTGTGACATTTGTTCTTCTGAAGAATAAAACTTGTCAATAACACAGCAATATATGATACTACCCCAATAGGCAAATTGTAAAAATTTTGCACAAAAATGGCATCATGAATAACGACGATCCTGCAATGATTGCACTAAGATGATTCGCCATAACGCAACAGTTTTGTCGAAATAAAATTTTGTAAATAATATTTGTAATAAAAATTGCAAAAAAGTCGTTATGCATTTCCATAAGCATATATATGAATTAAGTTGATTTCTTCATATGCAATTATATTTCTACGTATTTTAAACATCACATAGCTGAAATTTTTTTCTCAATTATTGAACAATTTTTTTTTGAAATTTAATCTTGCAAATATACTGCTAAGATATGATTCGCCATATCGTTATTCTTTTGCCGAAATAGCATTTGGACAGTAATTTTGCAAACAACTAAAAATATTTGATAAAAAATCAATGTTTTTACATCTATTTCCTAAAATATATCTGTATAATTGCAAATTACAACTTTAGTGCAAGATTTCGTCACATAATTTTGTAAATGTTTTCCTATCAGGGATATTGTCACTGTCTGTGCGATACTTTCGGATACTTATCAATTGCCCTATGTACATGTATATGTGAATTATAAACCTGCATAGGTTGATTAGAATTCGATGTTATTATGACTTGTCTTGTTGAACCTATAGTAGTGGGCAACACATAAGCCAACCTGGGCGTATTTATATTATTCTAAACAGAAGATATATAAATAAGAATATTTTTTATCTCTTTTTATTCTTATGCACTAAAAGATATATTTATATATTTATATTAAATATATTTATATATCATATGATATTTATACAAACTATAGTAGCACGATTAAGAGAAATCTATTAGTATCAAGTTGCTCTTGAAATCCTGATGAAGTGAGCTGAGATATTCACAAAACGTATAAAAATGACACTAATATGGTTCAAACCCGAAAAACATCTTTGAATGTTAAATCTATTAGTAGTTTTTCTGTTTTACACAATCAGGCAATAAACTTCTAAGACGGTAATGTATTGTATATATAAGAGAAGAGAATACTTACTACTATAGCAGTTGGCGTTGCTGGATTAGGTGCTATTAATCTTAAATTAGTTGGCGGCGTCGTTATTGTTACATTTGCTGGTATTGTTTGAATTAACCTAGAGAAAGCTTGTGCTTGGGCAGGTTTTGTCGTTAGTGTATGATCTACTACTGTGTTTGTAGTCATAGAATTTGCAGTTACAGTTGTAACTTTTACAGTTGCTGTAATATAAGATACGTATTTGATAATAATATAGAATTGTAAGTTTATATCGAATTTACGGTTGTCATCGTGTAATTGGTATAGTGTATCTTTTATAAACAGAATATTTTATTTTAATCTGTATATTGATACGTATGGTGTGTGTAATATATATAGAAGGTAAAAGAAAAACATTTACACTTATTTTTTTCCTCTTCATCTGTGAGATCAATAAGATCGTTATTTAGTTTTGATGCTATCAATGGAGGACACTTTATTTGACCTTGTATATTACCATTTAAAACAATGGTTTGCTGTGGAGTTGATGGCTACAAAATTTGTGCAATTGAATCAACAAAATAAAACAATACAAATGTCAATCATGAATCAGGTAAATAAGTCTTGTATGTTTTTTACTTACAGCAGATAAAATTGGCTGAACGCCAATAGGTTTTGTCATTTGCGAAGAATCTAAAGGCTTAGCAACAACTAAAGCTGCTGGTGTTACAGTGGGAATAATAGGCGGTACCGGATTCTGTGAGGTTGTAGAAGTGGTGGGCGCAGGTGCTAAAGGTCGGGGCGATCTGATTTTGACCCCATTACCGCGCTTTGGTACGTTAGAATTTGGCTCAAAAGATGGTGAACTAATCGGCACGTTTGTAGGCGGCTTGAGAAGTGAAACTTGTTGCACTTGTTGTACTTGTTGCACTTGTCGTAAGTTTTGCATTCCATGTTCCTAGAAAGTAATGACAGTTAATTTATTATTTAGATAAATTTTTTTCTTAAGAACATATATATATATTGGAATAAATACCGTGATAAAATTGACTTGCAATCCCACGGATCTATTAATTTTTATAGGTGCAACAGGCTTGTCGCCGTTCAGACGACGATCTGCTGCGTTGCGACTGAGAACCATTTCGAAATCTTTCATTTGCTTCATTAATTGTTGTAATTTCGTGCGCGTTGCTTCGTGCAATTTCTCCGTTATACGAGCTTGTTCTCTAAGTTGCCCAATTTCACTACGCATTGTAATTGTCTCGGCAATCTTTTGAATTACGAATTCTTCTAGTTCCTTAAGAAAATTATACAAAATAGATAAATCACTTTTTATAACAATAATATTTAGTCTATTTTACTCCGATTTACGGAACTTTACAAATATAAATAGTTTTGAATTGCGCTTTATCCCACGTAATTACGTCACTTGCTTCAGAGTATTGCGGTTCTTTCAGTTTATTGTCTTATGACATTATTGTGCAATAGAAATTGTCTTAAATTTATTGAACAAACTAATTTTTATATCAGTAGATCTTTTTTACTGCTATAACCGCATTGTCTTCAATCTTTAACATTGTTTGACATACGGATATTTTCGAGTAATAATATCTTTCTGAAGCCAAAGATGACGCAACTCCAAGGTATAATTGTAGTTTATGTAGTGTCGCGCAAAAAATTTTATTTTAATGTTTTTACCTTCTGTGTCAGTTTTTTTAACGTTTCTTTAACATCCCTTTGGTAAAGTTTCTCGACAAAGGCTAATTTAACAATATCATTTTTTGCAGTACTTTTAGCAGTCTCAGTATTATCTCCTATTTTCACTTTCTTAACACCGTTAAAAGATTCTGACTTATCCAAACAATTACGTTTCAATGAAGGAGATGCAGAACGTACATCTCGATGTGATTTAACCGTAACATCTTCTTCATCTGTTTCGGTAGAATCGCTATCGTTATTAAGATATTTTTTTCTAATTATCTCTTCTGCATTTTTAGCAGTTTTTCGTTTTTGTCGCTCTGTAATAATAAAATACATGGATATAAAAACAAGACAAGATTCGTAAGCGAACTACACATCAAATATGTTATAAAGACGAATTAAATAATCGAAAAAAACTATCTGATATTTTTCTATCTTACATCTATTTTGTTTTACATGCGAAATATATCGCAAATTTTTTTACCTTTTTTATCATCTTCTATAATATATTCTGGTATTATATCTCTCTTTGCGCGTTTCTTTCTTGAAGCAATAACGTCAATGTTTTTATTTGTATTCTTAGTGTTTTCCATAGAGGATACAAATGAAACTTTTTCTTGAAATGCATTAGCATCTTCAGTTTTATTTTCTATCTCCATAAGTTCCACTATATTACTAGATGTTACCGAATTGGTTTTTAACGTAGATATGGAATCACTACAAAATTTATTAGTATCAGAGTCTTCAGTTGATGTTGTTGTTCTGTATTTTACATTATCATTTTGCTCTTGAACTTCTTCTTGTATAGATTGCGTTTTTTCAGTTTTGCTTTGTATTATATCCTCATGTTTTGACTGTTGGTTTTCATATTTATATTTAACATGATCTTTAGAGATGTCATTAATGTTATTGTCTTTGGTAGAATTTTCGCTGTTATTAATTTCATCAACAAGTGAGTGATTTGCAGAATTATTATTATTTGTGTTAGCCTCACTGATTACTTTGTCATTTAAATTGCCTTCGGTACTATCAGACACAGTTGTAACTGTAAATGATTTTTCATTGTTACACATTGTAACTTTAACGGGATCGATTACATTATTCACTTTGGATTTACAAGGAGAACTTATTTCTTTATGATCGCTGGCCGTCTTTTTTAAATTGTCTTCATTATGCGGTTCTAGGACTAATTTTTGAAGATTACTTGGTTGTACATAATTATTTGTTGACAAATTGTCAGTTTTTAATTTTACATGTTCAGATGTTACTTTTGAACATGCATTACTTATTTCGCTAATTGTTAGCTCTGTATTAGATTCCGAGCTATACTTTCCATCAAGTAATTCACCGACCGTTATACTTATGTTTTCTGGACTATTGTTTGACATATGTTTTTCTGATTCATTGAAGATAATAGTTTTGTCCAGAGTATCAATTGCTGTAATAGATATATGAAGTGAGTAAACTCTTTCTTGTTCTCAATGTCTTCAAAACAATATGTAAAGTGATATATATATTGTGATCTAAATATACTCTCAATATGATTCAAAGAAACATTTAGAAAGGAATATAAATTTTATTGATTTAGCCAAATTTGGCCTAAGGCGAAGGGATTTAGTTTACAAACATTTATCATCTTTATTCATCTACACACACACATTTCTCATCTTTATTCATCTACACACTCTGTTTTTATTCATTCATACATTTTCTTTCTTTTTGTATGCGCTTGTTTTAAAAATTTTTTAAAATCTATCTCACAAATATTTAGATTTGATTTATAAATACGAAATGATTATTTGTGCTAGAAATAATACCTGAATCGCAATCCAATGATTCTTCATTAATCTTAGTGCCTTCTTCTACAGTCTGCGCCAGAGTAGAACACAATTCTTTGTCTAGAATTACACATGTAGCTGGCTGTTCTGCAAACAAAATACTATTATCTATAAGATGCCAAATACGAATATCTGATTAAATTCTTATTTTATTCAGTTATATACATGTATACGTACATAACTTTTTTTTCTTTATTAAAAATAAAATTACTTACCAGTCTTCTGATCTTGCAACTTTAATTCTGAAATATTTGGTAAATTTTTTGTATCATGTTGTTCAGTATCTCCATCATCATCATCAGACAATCTCAATCGCAAACTGTCATCAGATAATACATCCTCATCATCTCCTTCTTCCCCGTCTTCCCCATTATATAACAACTCATCTTCCTTTTCTTTTGATATCTCATTACTGTCTTCTATTCCACTAATACATGAAATTGTTGAACTATCTTCTGAATCAGCAACATTGTCAACTAGCCTTTTCTCCATTACGAAATGCACAGAGTGAAATGTCACTGCAATTTTATTTTTACTTTGTCAAACATGTTTATTTTCTTCTCTGTATAAGTAAAAAAATTTCCATATATATATATCTATATATATATGTAATTAAAACAACTATTTACAATATACATTTGCTATATACACTCACAATATAATTATACACCTAGATATTATAGTATATTTCTGTCAAAGCACTTAAAAAAGCACTATGTATTTACAGTGACATGTATGAAAGGTGTTTTATTTCATAAAATAGCAAATTAAAAAAACTCAATATGTACATATTTATAAATCTTTATTAACATAAGTTTTACAATTATAAAATAATATGTAACATATAATTTCATTTTTTTTTAATCTTTAATATTGCATTTTTAAAAATTATATCAACATATGTTTAAGATAATTTAAAAAGCAAAAGTTACTTAAAATAACTTTTAACAATTATTACTTACATAATTTATAGTATAAATAATTTCTTTAGGAATTTATAAAGATATTTATCTCGAAAGTCAGGAAAAAATATATAATTTCGAAATCAAATAAAACTGTATTCAGATTTTCTAAGTTTTTTTGAAAATATAGTGAGAAATCTTTTAATATGTCTCAGAATTCAGATATATGAAAAATTATTAAAATTTGTATAAACTCTTTTATATTCACAAATTTATACTGTTTATACAAATTTCTGATAACTATATCATTTTGTATAATTAAAAAAAACGCATAAAAATTGAAAACAAATTCTGAGAAGTAAAAGTAAACCTTTGGAAATTTGTTTTTCATCAGGAAGAATAGAAAAAAAAGACAAATTTGCTCTCTAACATTGTTTCTTTTTTGTCTGTAAACATCAAATGTGTGTGCAACATCATATATTTCTTATATTCCTTACACAAAAGCACATTTACTTGTATAGTTATTGATTTGCTATTTATATTATCATTTGTGAAACACCTTGCTATTTTACATATACGCGCGCGTCTCATTCTGGATTGATGCCCATCGCGCGCGAGGTCACTACTTCGTTAGTCATAAGATTGGTGCAGAAATTAGATACGTTCTCCTAATATCAAACAGGAAATTTTTCGCGCTTGTAAAACGATTGTATTATACGAATTATTCCCAGAGGTTGTGGACGGGAACGGGCCCTGATCATGAGAGAAAGGAGGGGAGGGGAAGGGACATCAAGGTCTCTGACCCATAAAATAGAACACTAAGATAGAACATGGCGGACTGAGGTATTCCCTACTCACAAACAAGTACCGGTGTATTGTATATTCAAAGACTGTTGTATCTTTTATAGTTTTAATGTAATTTCACTGTCTGACATTTTTAATAACTGTAACTAACAAATCTAGCAAACTAATGTATATACATAACCTTAAATATATACATCTAATTTTTTTTAAATCACTAAAGTTGATCACCTTTAACAATCACTTTAAGGTTATCACCTCGCTTGAAAAAACCAACTTGTTGCGTGACATTAAACTTTTTTAAAAATGCACAAGTTGGTTGCGAGAAATATGACGCTTCATTCAACGCTCGAGATGCTTATTTGGCTCGAATGAAATGCTGTTACGGGAGCAGCAATGATTTTTTCGAGAACAGAACATTTATAAACATGACGAAACATTGTTATCGTTGTTTTTTGCATTATCAATCTTTTGAAACACGAGTTTAAATTAAACAAACCGCGCAAAATAATCTCACTGTCACAGAGATTTGCGCATCACTGCATCGAGCGTGAAGCTCACACTGCACTTGAAGTGACTTGAGTCCCAAGATTCGTCCCGAAGATAGTCGAACATATACGAAGTATCACAAAATGGCAGCACAAACTGCGTCGCGACGTCGCGATTCGCTGCACAATAACGCGAGAATATTATTTTTAACCAGCACACATCACACAAGATCAGCCACAGAATCAAATCACATTTAACGATTGTGATCAAAACAATTTCACAAGGTTAAATAAAATATGCAACTAATTTCCAATTTTTTTATATCGCCATGACATAAACTTATTTTTGTCTCGTTATTTCTTTTCTTCGTTTCTTTTGCATTCTTATATCAAACCAACATATGTGTATTAATGTCACAAGTCAGTTTCATCGATCTTGTTATTGCCTCATGTTAGATATCAGCGTATAATTATTATAATTATATTTATACAATTGGTTTGTATTTCAGGCTTATATATGTTATTGTTCTATTTATAGAACATATCCACAACTCTATTTTCATATGATTTTTCAACATTTTGTAAGTATGGTCGCGGATTCGTTTTATTGAACGGTTGATGAACAGCCCCTTCTCTTTTCGTTCGACGCACCAATGGCAGGATCGGCGATGGTGGGAGAAGTGCGCAGCTGTTTTATCGTATTACAGAACAATCGATTTTTGGTGGCTTATTTCTACTTGAAGTCCACGTTATCATATGGATTTTTCAAATATTGATCTCACACACAAGAAAAGTATTTATTTTATCACTTAACACACACTTATTAATGTCATCTTCTTTATCTCAGCGAGTTGTTTATTAATTAGATTTAACTCAGGGCCGGGTTTGGTATTAATAATACCTAGCAATTTTTCTATATTTTATTTTTTTTCTATTTAATTAATATATAAAACAAATGCAGTTTTCGAAGTTTCAAAAATAGATAGAACAGTTTTCCATCAAATTCTTTATTATGTAATAAAGAATTAAACAGTATACAAACAATATAGTTTTCACCCATACCGATCAACATTCTATACAATAAATCTCCAAATTAAATGTTCATTAAATGTCACATGGAGTTATGAACGTTCATTATAACGTCTAATGAACATTATGTCTGTGTGAATAGTTGTGTATAAATTTTGGGGACCGCATTATCATTAGCGAAAACTTTACTTTTGTGTCTACGCACAGCTCTACCTGCGAGCATAAAAAAACCGATATAACAGAGCGAGTGAGATAGAAGCGAGTGAGACAGGAGTGAGTGAGACAAAACTTAGTCTTTTTAGTCCACGCTGAAAAGTATGGCCGCGGTAGAAGAAATCCCGTCTTGTAGACTAAATTCAAGTACCGTGTCTCGCAATGCGACGGAGGAGGTGAGGGGAAGGTAAACTCCGGTGACAAGATGCGAACACTTAAATGAATCACTTATAACTACCCAGATATTAATGCAATTATAATTAGATAGACTGAACAGGTTCAGCTTATTCAACTATAAAATCTTTTGAAATCTTGTATTTACTAAAACAGTGAGCTCCTGTTCTTCTATATTTAGTATAAAAAAATATTTAAAACTTTTTATTAATTGTTTAATCTCAGAGTTTACTACGCACACAACCACGTTTGTGCGCGCGCAAGTACATTTTCTCCCTCTTCTTTATTAGAAAACTTTATATCAAATTGAATAACTTATAAACTATAATATCATGAAAAATCAAAATGTTAGATTAATACAAAATATATACGTATATTACACGGGTTAAAATACTAACTGAAACAGGAAATGCAAATATTGATTGGACAATAGGCCAAATTGAGCAATAATTGGGTAGCACTCGATTAGTTTTTGTGTTTGTTTACGATGTTCGTTCGATAAATATCCGGCTTTAATTGCAAAAGTTAATTGCGATTAAATGTAAAGCCAGGAACTTTCCCTCCACAACAAGATCTACAATAAATCGCATGTCGTTGTTAGGTGTCGCTAGTCTTCTGTCAAAGCCGGCCCATTAGCCCAATAGGCTCGATCTAACCAACAGATTGGTTGCAACATAAAACTAACGACATCCATATTATAAAATAGGATTTTTTTATATGAATCATAGTTCACTCTAAGTTCATATAAAAAACAAAAAAGGAATATAAATTTTAAAAATTATATTTATTTTATTATAATTAAATCGTTATAAATAATATTAAACAAAACTTTGCAAATCTTTTAAATAACTAAAAAAACTTTATGTATTCTAAAAGCAGCAAAGTAGAACAAGTACCGCCATCTGTTACTATTTTTATTTCTACCTTTACTTTTTAAGAAAGTGATACTATCTTGTGTCAGATATAATTGGAACGTGTGTTACCAAGGTAACTTTTTGTTAGATCAATTGTTATTTCAATTGTTTTTCTAGAGAGATAAGACATTCCTCTCATTAAAACTTGATGTATATTTTCTGTACATATATACTATATATATATAAAGAGATATTATTATAAAGAATAATATTAAACAAATCAGAACGATTATTATTATATCTCGAGTTTTGTATATTTTTTATAAAACTCAAAATTGTGATTTAAAAAAAACTTAAAATACATTTCTAAAATATTAAAGTTTTGAAAACTTGATAAATATTTAATAAAAAAAAATAAAATTGTAATAACAAAATTAAAAAATGTTTTAAAATTTCTGATACAGTCCTATAACAAATAGAAACTGTTTTAATCATTGAGAGGTCTCAAAAATATTACTAAGTATAGTACATCACATATTGTAATCACAATATTAATTACTAGTAAGAAACAAAAATAAGCCGTATAAGCAAATATTATTATAGACAAAATAGTTCGTTTGATATAATCTGCATCAAATAACTAAAGATCTAATAAATTCTATAAATACATTTCTAAATCGTAAAAATGTGCACATTTGTATATGGATTATATTGATTTGCGATACTAGCGACGGTGTAGCCGTGTCTTGTACTTTTGTGTATTGAATAAAAAAAAACAAAAACATTCTCAAGATAATACAAGAAGCCATATCATTTTTGTAAATACCAATGACAAAATGGCGAACGTATCATACAAAATGGTGTCTTCTAGATAAAAGCGTCTCTATAGCAACACTAACATTTCCATATAATATTGGGCCTTAAGGCCCAATTTTGGCAATAACTTTTTTGATATGCTTGATTAATTATAATATTTATTTAAAAAACTTTAACTAAAAACTAACTCAATTTTATAAAATAAACTAATTTGTTAATTTTTAGTTTTATAATATTATTTATAAACTTTAATACATGTACATGTTTCAAAACCGTTAATAACTCCACGTTTTGAAACTAATATGGAGAAAGAAATTTCGCCCAAATAGTTGTAGGCATTGAACCCATGACTACCTCATCGTTTCCTGTGAGGGAACTTAGTTATATCAAACACATGTCTATGTTAAGATAGATTAATCATATAAAAAGTGATATACTTACATTATACGGTGTTGAGAAGAGAGAGGAGAGAAATGGGAAGCACTAGTGCACTTTTTGTTCGCGGAGCTTAGAAATTTACAGGTTATAACTGAAAATCGACACCGAACATCACACCGACACTTGCCAGACAACTACGCAACGTCGCAATCTAAACAAGTGACTTCGGCAACGTTGCCGGTTCCTCACGGACCGTTATTTTCGTGTAACATTGTATGTATTTACATGGAAAGGCAGTAAAATTCTAACAAATTGAAAATAAAAACCAAATTCTAATGTGTTTTTGAGAAAAACAATATATTAAAATATAAGGGAGTTATAACATAAATTACGATTTAACGCATATGTAAAAGTTATCGACGTATACTATCGCGTCACGATTCGCTTGGAATCTCCTCTGCGCGTGCGCGTGTACGCCCACCAGTTCATCACACTTTGCCTTAGTTGCCTGAGTCTACCATTCTACAGACAATTTTATGAAATTGCGTAGTTTTTTTCTTCTCACAAACTTTTCTCGTATATACAGATATTCTTTTGGTTGCTATTATTATAATTGTAAAAGAATTTAACATAAACGACTGTTAGCACAAAGTGTGGCGTGTATGGTAAGTAAGAATATACCTCCTACAATGTTATTAATACTAAAAACTTTAGCTACTAAATAAGTCGTTGATGTCAACAATATATATAGAAGCTACAGTATATAAACAAAATGTGTTGTATTATTGTGCTATTTTAAAGACAATAATACAACATATTATTCTACTTATATTAAAATTAGACATTTAATTTAATTGTTACGGATAATTTTTTAATAATAAAGTTTGCAGCTAAAATAAATAAGAGGAAAATGAAAGTTCTTATTATTTTGTTTTATATATTTTCTTTGTTATTATTTTACTTAGTTATAAAAATATTAAATTTTTAAATAAAATGTAAATTTTAAAACTTTTAAATTTGTTAATTTTTAAATTAACTTGTTTTTTATTTCCGCATTATTTCTGTATTTTTTTCTGATGATATATCATTGAAAAGTTAATAGACATTAAATTAAATTAAATATCTCATTTAAAAACATGTGCAATTAGTTAATAGTTATATAAACAAAATAATTATAAATTTTGAAATAAAAAGTATATAAGATAAATACATCAGTGATTTTCAATAAAATAAATAAAATACTTTTAATCGTGAACGTTTTTTTTAAGATGTTAGAAGAGGTTGAAAAACTAGATAATTCAATAGTTAAAAATAGAATTCCATTGGGTGTAGAATTTGATAAATTTTCCGAACTTTTTTTTTCAAAAATTAGCATTGAATTTTACTTAATACTTTTTACTTGTTTAAGAATTAAACAAGTGAAAAAAAAATTATTCAGAACTTCACGACTTGATTTTTAACAAAAAATTATGTCATAATTTATAAATGCAAAAAAACTAATTGTATGTCTCGGTACATGGTTTTTTTCTATGTATCAGACACTTTACATCCTCACCATTACTGTGGCTTACATCACTTTTGTTTTCTATCAGTAACAGAGATATATATGATTATTTTAGAAAATAAACAATGGAGAGAGAGAAAGAGAGAGAGAGAGGGAGAGAGAGGAAAAAAAGTGAAAAAAAAGAGAGAAAACTCTTTAAGAGCCAATTCCAGCAAATTAGTAATAGTTGGTGTACAAAATTTTTATTATTTCAAAAGTGAACGTTTCAATCCTATTTTTAGATCTTCTTTAGCACAAACTGTGTATCAAATTTCAACCGTCAATCAATAATTTTGCAAGATTAAAATTTTTAATAATATAAAAAAGTAAAACCAAAATATTAAAAAATGTTTAATTATTTTTTTAGACATTCAGCGATTTTCCGAATCGCGTGTTGCTAGCCGGAATCTATTATGCATATATTAAAATACATACATGTATTAAAATCTATGAAACACGAATAAGATTTTAATTTTCCGCACAATTCTTTGCAGTTCCAATTGTTTTTTCTTCTAATAGTCTGATCAAAATAAAATTTAATATCAAGTCACACTTAACGTTTAGACGTAATGCAATGTGAGTTAGACCCGACGTTGGACTGGAAAGAGTTAATACATATTTTAAAGAAAAAAAATGACTAACTGTTCAGACCCCAGGCGTGATATCAATGGGGTCTATACAGACCCCACGCGTCTGAGAGATAATATAACTTAACACAGTAACGAGTGTTTATATCACAATCTCGTGTATTGAGTGATGCATAGTGTTTGAAGTGAGTCAACAGCCTTATTGCCAATAAACGAGTTATAGTGAAAAATATTTGCGCGGTACTCAAGATAAGAGGCAAAGTAAACTTTTCAAAACAAAAAAGAGACAGAAAACAGGTTTTTTTTTTTGAAGTTGAAGTTTATAACATACAACAACGCTTGCGATCAGAAATATTTTTTTTTACGCAGTCCCATTGTATTTGTACTCCCGAATTTGGGACAAAATTTGGGACAGGTAGAAGTCCCCTAAAGTCAACCTTAACCTGGTCTTTGGGGAGTATCACAAGAGATTTGTTGCGAGTATTAATTGCGTTTAATCTTCGGCGAGATGTGACCACGGAATTCTGGAATCCGGCATTGAGCAGGATAGTCATCCATTGAGAGGCATTCCAAACGCATCTCTTTGCAGTATACGTGCTCCGCGAATCATTTACAAGTGAGCCGGCAGTCTTTTTGAGTTGTTGACCCTAAATAGATTCTTGTGCTCGAAGTAAACCCTATAGTAAGCATGAACTGTGTCACAATGTGACACACCATAAATAGAGTAGAATTAAGGTGTATCACGTGTTAATGACGTGCACATCACAGTATGTCGGCAGAAAGTGGGTGGAAATCGAGTATCGATCACAGCGTGTCGACAGAAAAAAAAGTTTATTAAAACAAAACGATAAAAACGATACTCGATTTCCGCCGCTATTGGTAACTGTTACAGCAGATCCTGTTCGATAATCAGCTGCATTTCTATCGTCAACGTAGTGACGACACAAGTCCCGTTTCTTCCTGCTATCATACTATATTTAGCATGCACGTTATATCGACAAAAATCAAGCTATAAACTTGGACACAATAGATCCGAATCTATAAAATCCTAATTAAAATCTAAAATGTGCTAAATTTTATTTTAACCAAAATAAATGATAAATCAACTCATTATTGCACTGCAATAATAACTAATCAATAAAAGTCAAATAGAAAAGAAAAAAAAACATCATTTGTTTTATATCAGTATTTGTGCACTTGTGGACGGTTCTATATAAATTTAATCGTTGTTGAGAATCTGAGCAGAGTGTGTCCAGTTCATCATTCTAGACTTACACTCGTTTGATATTTCGTTCCGAGTTTGACTTTTGTTACTTAATTCTTCGAGTTTTAAGTTTGCGTTGCGATGTAATGTTAATTTACCTAAGTTTGACGAGAAATAATTGCAACACACACATAGATGTGTATCACAGTTAAAGGATGGAATAAAAATATTATTAGAAGAAAAAAAAGTGGTTCCTTATACATTTTTTCTTGTATTTTCAAGGGAATTATTTCCCGTCAATAAACAAAAAAAATTAGTGTTACTAAGAGTAATAATACCTTACGTAATTATTTATTAGAGCTATTGTATATTATTCGTTATTGTTGTGTTGTAAAATAACAGCACCGATGTAAAACTCAGTTCACAAGATTACTTCGCGGCTCAGAGTAAGCCGCGCGGCCCCAACAACATCACGGCGTTATTGGTCCAAGGAGATCGCCACACGCGGAATGAATGGAGTTCCGCGTGTCAGCAGAACAACGGAACGACTCGTAACTAGACGGACGGCCAATAAAAAACGACGCGAGGCATGCGTATCGCGCCGCGTAGTAAAGACTAGAAAAACAAACTGAACGATACGCCTGCGAAGGGACAGCCCGCGAGAGGGTAGTGGACGTTGGTGAATCGCCGATAAAGGCGTAAATTTCGTTGGCAATGCGTGCGAACCAGTCGGCAAAGTGCACGAACTCGCAGCTGGTCTTGAGGCATGTCGCGCTGATTACTTTCACCCGCTGATCCGTTCGACGAGTGCGCGAGGTCAACGCAGTCGAGAGGAAACTTCCGCGCGCGGATTCCTCATTTGGTTTTTCGAGAACCGAGACATCTTTCGTACGCGACGACTCGCAAACGGGGCGATAAAATCCGCGAAGCCTGTGCGGGGGCTTTTCCTCGCGCGACACACGACGCCTTTAACGTGCGTCCGCATGCGTAATAATTGTCTGCTTTTCCGACGGGCCGATCGAAATACAGTGTCCCGACCGGAGAGCACTCTCGGGGTACACAGCGAAGAAAGAGAAGTTGCTGTAATGGCCGCCGTGTCATGAAATGAAGGTGCCGAGCCAGTTTTGTGGTGCCACAATGGAGGATAGCTGCAGCCCCGCGTCCCAAAATCACAACGGCCAGTTAGCCGGCGGCGCGAATGTATCCCTTGCCAACAACAAGCACCAGGGCGGCAGCGACAATGGCAGCAACGGCGACGCCAAGGACCAGCGACCACAGTACTCGATGCCTGGTATCCTGCACTTTATTCAGCACGAATGGGCCCGCTTCGAACTTGAGAGGTCCCAGTGGGAGCTGGACAGAGCAGAATTTCAGGTACGGGTCCCGAGTCGCGATGACGCCGGATTCTATGGAGCCGTGCATGAACCCCATCGTATTACAATTGTCCGTTTTGCTTATTGCCCTTTTAGCTGTCATGTGACAAGAAAAATCGTAAAAACATATAAGACCCATGCAAACATTAATTTTAGAAAAGTGCACATTTGTTGTGATAGAATATGTTTTAGCAATGAGCTTTTTGTAGTTCAAATGTGTAATTATTCGTCACACTGTTGCTCTTAATTTATTATACTGTCAAAAGCAATAAGTACTTTTCCTTGATATTGCCTTTCGTCTTGATATTCAAGCTATTTGAGTTTGTGAAAAAGTGATACTTATGTATGTATTTCCTTTTATAAGATACCAAAAATTTTGAACATTTACACAAAAGTGTAACTGTATCGTAATGATAAGTTATTGAAGTGAATTAATTTTATTTGATATTTTTTTATACAGGCTAGGATAGCTTTTCTCCAAGGTGAAAGAAAAGGACAGGAAAATTTAAAGAATGATCTTGTAAGAAGAATAAAAATGTTAGAGTATGCACTTAAGCAAGAAAGGTAAATAATAAGCTATTACAGATATTTACACAGCAATATATTACTTTAAAAGAATATAAGATGTTTTTTTTTAAATAACAATGTCTGAATATATTTCGTATAATTTTTTAAATATAAAAATTATATATTTATAGTTAAAATACTTTGCACTTGATTTTTTACATATATTTTAGCACTTAGTGCCAAATGGAAAGATCACCTTGCTCAAAGTGGGAAAATCTAGTTATTTGGTTAGCTAGTGTTAATAAGAAAAATTGCAATTACTAATTATTTAAAAAAATTTTGTTTGTATTTAGTAATGACTAAATTTAGAATGGGAAATCAGAACCTGATATAAATTTATTATTAAGTTAACATGTGTTACATATAGATAGATTTTAACATTGTGTTAGTAAACTATTATCATCTCTAATATTCTTATTCAATGTTATTTCTTAAAATTTATAACAGAGCAAGGTACCATAAGTTAAAATATGGTACTGACTTAGTAATGCAAGGAGATATCAAACCACCTCTTTACGAAGAAGGAACTACGTGCAATACTTCTGAAGGTGGAGGTAGCGGAGGTAATGAAAGTGGTGGTAATGGAGGTGGAGGAGGAGGGGATGGAGAAGCTTCATTCACATCTGTCAGTAATGTTAGTTGGAGACAAGGTCGTCAACTTTTAAGGCAGTATGTAAAACACATATATGTTTTGATGTTTTATAGTGAGAATTATTAAATTTTATACTGTGTACTCTTTTAACTTATGCAATGATACAGAAAAAAAAAACAGTAAAAGACTATAGCCAAATTTTTTCAGATATTTGCAAGAGATTGGATATACTGACACAATAATAGATGTTCGGTCAAACAGAGTACGGTCACTGCTTGGCTTGAACAATAATACAGACACAGAAGAAATAAATACTCCAGCGTTAAATGGAAATGAAGGAGTATCGCAGGATAAACGAGAATATAGTAAGGATAAGAATGAATATAATAACGAAATGCGTCGAGGAAAACAGCAACATCCTCCAAAAAAGGTAGGAATAAAACTTACACGGAACTGATTACAAATATATCAAAAACCTTAATTTCTTTTAATGTATAAATGTGTGTGTATATATATGTGTAATGTGTTTACGATGCAAAATATGTACATGTTACTTTTTTTTAGCAACAGCCATCTTCTATAGCAGAAGCAATGATATTGGATACAGAAGCAGCTGTTATAGCAAATTTTGAATTTTTGGGTCACACAGATATGGACATGGAAGAGGAAGAAGGAGATGTAGAGGATGAAATTTATGACGCAAGTGCAGATACCAAACCAAATAAAGTAATAATAAATAACCAAAAAACTACCAAACCCAATAAAGTAACTTATTATTTTATATCATTGCTATATTTTGTATATATTTTTTATTTTACCTAATTTTACCTGATTTTACCTATATTTTAAATTTTATTTAATATTCTTTTTTCTAATATATTTCTGTTTTCTAGGAATCTATTCCTCTTTTAGCAGAGGATGTCGATACAGATGCGGAGGCAGAAGAAGTATTAAATGAATTAAATCTCCTCACAGAAATTGAAGAATCTCCACCTGGTTCTATTCATCTTGAAATGAATTCCTCAGAATGGAGTAAGCAACATTCTTAATTTTATATAGTTCAGGAATTTATTGTATAAAGTTTTATACACACACCATCTATCCGTAATATGTTTTGCGTAGAATCAAATTAATCCGACCTTATCTTATCTTGCTTTGCAGATGCGTTACACAGAGGATTGCAATCAGATCCAAGACGCCCAAATAAAGAGGGGGATTCAACTCTGGAATTAGGAGAATTAGAACAATTATGTGTTAGCAATGAAGCTGAAATAACATATGATGTGAGTTGCTAGTATCGCCGTTCCATATTTTATTAATCAAGTTGATTGTGTGTTTCTCAATGTGTGACATAACGCTCTCAATATAATTGTTTTTCATTAATAGATGGTTTCTACGAAGGAAACGTTCAGAAAAACATGGAACGCGAAATACACATTACGATCGCATTTCGATGCCGTCAGAGCACTTGTCTTCCATCCCACAGATCCAGTCCTCATCACCGCGAGCGATGATCACACTCTGAAATTGTGGAATCTTCATAAGACTGTTCCAGCTAAAAAGTTTGTACATTGCACTTTGTTATGGAAATATACTTTTGTGAGTTCTTTTTGACATATAAATTTTTCTCTCTTACTTTATTTCTTGCAGGTCAGCTTCATTAGACGTAGAACCACTTTACACATTCAGATCGCATACTGGACCTGTATTGTGTTTAGCAATGTGCAGTTTAGGCAATCGATGTTACAGCGGTGGTCTGGACGGCAATATTCATTGCTGGACCCTTCCATCAGCTAATATCGATCCCTATGACTCGTACGAACCAAGTGTCCTTAGTCACACATTAAGAGGGCACACAAACGCTGTTTGGGGATTGAGTATGTATCATCTGCGTCCCACTATGCTGTCGTTCAGCGCGGACGGAACTGTAAAGTTATGGGCTCCGCAGGCCACGCAACCTCTTCTCAATACGTATGTCTCGGAACAAGGTACGTATAACGCTAATATTCTAAATTTAAAATGACTATCAGACAATGGTCAGCAAAAGTAGCAACGAGTTATATGTTATAAAATAACAAAAGAGTCTCAAATTCGCAGTTCTTTGTCTAGCAAATATTGATTGAATGTAAGTTTTTCTTCTGTGTTGTACGTGTTAGACAATAACACATCGTGATGATTACTTTTCTCTTCTTTTATAGACGGCATACCGACTTCAGTTGACTTTATCAGGGACGAACCGCATAAGTTGGTCGTGGCTTACGAAGGAGCTTGCGTGGTATTTGACACTGAAACCGGTGCGATCGTGGCGCGGCTCGAAGCGAACGAGACAAAGGGCGTAAATCGCGTCGTAGCACACCCGACATTACCGCTGGTTGTAGCCGCACACGAGGATCGACATATTCGATTTTACGACCACCGGTCGGCCACTCTTGCTCACGCGATGGTGGCGCACTTGGATGCAGTTACTAGTCTCGCAGTAGATCCTCATGGTTTATACTTACTTTCAGGAAGTAAGTACAAAAGCGAACAAAGTGTTTCAATATTTGCTACATAATTTAAAATCAAATATTGATACTTTGAGATAGATTCTTAACTCGACTGTACTGTCCGCACGCAGGTCACGATTGCAGTATAAGATTATGGAACATGGACAACAAGACCTGCGTTCAGGAGATAACAGCGCATCGGAAGAAATTCGACGAAAGTATTTTAGACGTAGCGTTTCACCCGTCACGACCGTTTATAGCGAGCGCCGGCGCCGACGCTCTCGCCAAAGTGTTTGTGTGAAATGTATAAATCCAAGATATATACTCGCTACATCAAAATGATTTCTACTACTACATCAAATCGAGCAGTTTTATACTCGTATTCTTTTTTAGATAGTCTTTATAACTTTATGTGATTCACCCGTGAACACACTTCCAATTTCCGTTATGAACTCTGACCGTTCTGACCATCTTGTGAAAAGAAATAATGATTTATATAAAGAAATCAAATCTCTCTTCTCGACCATGTAGAGAGGGAGTGAGAGAAAATTATTCATTAAAACAAAAAATGAAAATTTAACTCTTGTCTGTGACACATGTCTATGAAGAAAGATAATTTTAAATGTAAAGGCTACTTAAAACAAACTGATGTTGCTCATTAAGTAGCCGAGACACTATTTGGAATAGCGGGAAGGGGTCTATCACATGTAGAATATTAGCAGATGTAATCCTGATAAAATTAGAGAGGAACCAACCCCTTACCCACAGAATCCAGAAAGTACACTGCCGCGGTAGCGTAATATTTATCCTTACGTTAACTATTTATTACCAATATTGCCGTTACACTGTTGCACAGCTACTGAGGATTACTACAAACGTAATAATCGATGAGATATACAGTTGCCCTAATAAAAAAAAAAAAAAAAATGCATTAATTAGTCTCCCATTACATAATTTTTCCTTGCTGCCTTGTATATTTATTGAGGCTGGCACATAGTAATGATAATAATAATAATAATAATAATAATAATAATAATTATATATATATTGTAATCATAAGCTAATTATAATATAATAGACATAATATTAATAACAACAATAAATTATAATTGTGTGTTTCTCTGTAATATATTGTATTTAAAAATAGATAACTGTGTAACGCGTATATATATAATTCCTCTAATGAACTTTTTTTATTAAAATCTCATTCTATTATTTTCTTACTTTACAAATGCCCAAGTGTCCGAGACGAAAAGACTCTAGCTAGGTTTTATGTTTCACCTTTTAAATACACAAACGTCAACATTTCCATTCATTGTGTAATCAACAAATTATCATCACCGTGATAATTTTTATCACGGTGATAAGTGTCTTAATTTTTCACGTAATTTCACTCTCAAGTCTGTTTTCATTATTTCACGTTTTCTCACGTAAAAATGACTTTTATGAATGATTCCACTTCAAAAGAATTGATGGCGCGGTGACAAAAATCCATCTTTTCGCGCTCTTTCGGAAAATTTTAAAAGAAACTTTGTCTCTGTCCCTACGATCCTATATAAATTTCGTTCAATATAACAATAGCCGACCCGTGTGGTCATATACTGCCAGTTTTTCTTGCGAGTCGGCAATCGATGCGATAGATCGCAACTTCGTTATCGCATTGCGTGCGAGACACATTTGATCTTTTTTATTTCATTCGGATACGGAGTTGTCATTTGGTTGGGCTCGCATTTGGACAAGATCGGCCATAGCGTTGACGCGAGGCATCACTGACCTCGTGACATTCCGCGTGACCAATCCGACGAGGATCAGAAATGAAGAAAAGTTTCAATTTTCCGAGCGAATGACAAGATTTCACTACGCGCTCTGGCACGCTCGCGCACGCCGCTTCGGATAAAGAAAGCGCTCCCTTATCACGCAAAATCGCTTGTTGGTGCTGATTGTTAAGCGCGTCGTGTGTAAGTGTGCGTAAGTGTTAAATTCTTAAGTCATCTCAGATGCATGCGTACATGAGAAGTCTAAGAGGGCGCGAGAAGAAATTAGTTAAACAATGTGAATTTTTCGCCAGCCGCGTTCGCTCGCTTCATCGAAGGCTGACAGTACGTTTTTTAACCGAGTCCTGGTGAAAAATCTCCCGGACAGGTTATGTGAAATTTTATGCAAGTGGAATGTGGATTGATCTGAGTCACGGTCCGAGACGCGAACGTGCCGACCTTTTTTTGTGTGATGTGTGTCCCGTTCTGTTTTATGAGCATCTTCGCTACTTGAAGGCCTAAAACGATGGAACGGAATGGTGCCAGGGAGATGGAGGAGCGTAGATGTATCCGAGATACTGGTAGGGCACTAAAAAAATACGGGAGCACGGCTAAGCACATGACACGGACTGAGAGCTTGGCGAAGCACACGGTTTGTCCTACGGACACTCTCCAAGGGATTGCTCTGAAATACGGAGTCACGGTAAAAACTTTCGCGTAAACTATTACTTTTGTCTTGTTTTATTTCAATATTTGTGCAATTTCTGTTTGTGTATACTTTGATGTGCAAAAATGCTGTTGTTTTAATCACATCGTCTTCTTTAAAACGATCACATTATGACACGCACGTCGATTTGATGTATTTTTCTTGCTTTTTATAGACAGAACAAATAAGAAGAATTAATAGATTATGGGCATCAGATAGTTTATTTTTACGAGAACACTTGCTTATTCCCGTTGGCGCGGACAGTCCTGCTTCTACATGTAACGATGAATCGGCAGCTAGTGACGAACATGATATATCTCCAAATGTAAGTAGAATCTATGAGAAGTTATTGAAAGAAACATTCAGTAACCCACCATACTCGTTCGCAGATATCTAGTCCATCTTCGATATCCTTGTCTATTGACGACGAAAGTTCAGTTAATGATTTCTTAGCTAAAATGGATACCTCAATAGCTAATGTAAAGCGAGAAGTCAAACGTGCTCAAGGGAACAGTGAGTAAGTTATTTTCTGTTTTCTATATAAAAATACTTTTATAAACTTTATGTGATCTTAAAATATTCATAAAGATGAATTTCTGGTTTGAGCCACGTGTCATTTTTATATCTACGTTTTATGAACATTTCAATTTACTTTAATCAGTGTTTCAAGAACAACCTGATACTGTTCACAAACCAGCATTTGATGTATAAATTTTCGGTTCAAATCCGAAAATCATCTTCGAATATTAATATAATACACCGCGAGGGCATCAAATATCAGTTTATGTAAATTTATTATGTAAAATTATACTGAGATATATAAAGAGATAATATACAAAATTATAGACATTTTTGCAATCTTTCATATAAAGTAACCCTTTATCTTATAAATTTTGATACAGTATGCTGAAAGAAACATTAAATAACATCACAATTATCTATCTTACTAAAAATAAAATTATCCTATTATAGATTCTGTACTGATGATAGCAATGTGCAACGACGACGTGGATCTGCTAAATTACGAAATTCATTTTCTACCATGTCAAATATCTATTCGTCGTCTTCTGACTCTGTCAGACCTGCGTCCTCTAGTGATATGCATAACTTTCCGACTGCTGTAGTTATGACGCAAGGAAGAAAAGTGAAAACTTCCTTACAAAGACTTGAGCAGCAGCAAGACGAAATGTTCCAGTTGTAGCGTTCAAGTTTTATTGGGCTGTAAAACTCTATCAACTTTGTTATTAAAAAAAAAAAAAAAAACTTTCGTTGAACTGGATATTACTGATGCAAATAGGTTGTTTCTCGCGTCCGGTGTTAGTTGATCCACGTGTGAATTTCATTAAAATCGCATCTATGTTACCTTATCGCCGTCGAAGTATCGATCGTATCATTATAATTGGTCTAACATTTCATTATTACATAAGTGCACCATCGTTGTAACTTAACGATCTTCTCTCAGAATAATATTTTAAAGAATGGATCAACTAACTTTTATACTGCTCGAACATAGTGCTGAGCTGTTTTACATAATGTTGCTTAGTGGACCATATGTGCCTTGGATACAAGTCTCTGCATTATGTAAGAGTTCTCTCTATGCTCTGGTTTTTTCTGCCTTGTTAACCACTTCTCGTAAAAATTAATTGGTTTTTTAAGTTCTTTGTTTTTGTTTTTTGTTGTTGCTGAACCAATTAAAAGCAACTTCTAGACAAAGTAATTATTGTAAAGTGGAAAATAGATAGTTTAAAATTATATGTGATGCATTGTAATGCAAATGCAATATAAAACTATTCTTATGTGCAAGTTTTGAAGACACATGTTACGTTATAACCGGTGTTATAACAATGATATATAATTTTATTTTATTTTTTTTAATTTTCTTATAAAAGTTTGATATCTTTTGCACAGTGATTACAGTTGATTACATTTACATAAAACATGATACCGTTTTTATTATAAATGCACGTATGAATGTTATTGTTTACTAAAGAAAAAAGTGAAAATAACATATAAATAAATAATAGAGAAAATTCAGCAGCTCACATTATTAAAATATTAAGTATCATAAATCAGTTCGCTTACTATTGTTATGCAGATTATAAATTTTTTACACAAGCAGTGGCGAAAATTTATTGAAACATACTTTCAACATTTATTTTAAGTAATTTATATAAATTTCCACAAGTTAGTAAAAAATTACATTATCAGACAAAATTATAATAAAGAAAGTATCATAGAATAAAAAAAAAATAAAAAGAACAAGAGAAAAATGGATTAAACTGTTAAAACTTATATGTGTTACATAATGTTGCAAAGTGATGTAACTATAAAAAATAACAAATTATATATAATGTTGCAAAATGATGTAACTATAAAAAAGCAAATTATATGTAATTTGTAAAAATAAGTAAAAATAGCAAATTATATATAATTAATGTAACTACAAAATAGCAAATTATACATAATTTGTGATATATAAGCACTTCTACATAGATAAAAAAATGTATATACCTTGTGATATATCAATGTATATCAAATATATTTCCAGGCTTTGTACATAATCTGGTAAAACATTTATGTCTTACACACTGTACATACCATTAATAACAGCACTAGTTAACAATGTTATCTATATATAATTAATACATCATTACTGTGAGGTCAAATATAAGAATGTTACATGACAAAAATATAAAGATGTTATAACAGAAAATAATACTCTTTGATGCGTCCTCATGTTATTGTATTATAGTTACTAAGAAGTACTAAGAAAGAATGTTTGATTTTTTTTTCTTAAAGATATAAATGTAAAAGAAACTATATAAAGTATATGCAAAATTCATTGGTTATTGACCAGTAACTATTGTTCTGTATGTAATATAAAGTGAGAGTTAAAGTGAAAGCAAAATTTTATTTAATTTGATTTAAAGTAATGAAAAGTATATAAGGATGTACACACATATCTGAACATATTCTTAGTATAAATATACATATGTTATAAATTATTTACACAATATATTATTTATTCTTTACATAGTATATCTATCTTAGAATTAACTATTCGTATAGGAGGTCGCAGATATCTGTTACAATGACATTTCAATTCGTTTATAAAATTAAAAGACCCTAAGCGACTGTTGCAATGCGGACAATGTAGTTTTCCCTTTATCCAAGATTCCTTTAAAAATAATTTATATTGGTTGTGTTTTACATTACGTGTATAAAAGATTTCTTTGTAAGTTTTGATTAAAAAAAAAAAAAAAACAAGATACATACTTGATTTATACTATTCATAATCCAATCTGGTGCATTTTCCGGAGTTACATACGAACAGCAATCAGACTCAACCTCGCATCCCGTATCCGATGGAGATTGTTTTACTTCGTTATGTGCATTAAACAAAATACTAGTACCCTTAAAAAGGGATTTGCAGCAATGTCTACATCTCACTTCCATGACACGAGAGATTGCTATAGTTATTGTATCATTAAATATATTGTAAAATAAAAGCTTGCAAATTGTTATACAAATTTTTTTATTCACAATCTTGCCCTACAATATGTATATATATTGCATATATACGTTTTTTTTTTTTGAAGTTTTATATAAATACCTATTTTTTTTTTTTCTACACTATGCACTCATAAAAACACTATTTGTATCTTATCTTGTCCGCGTTTTTTTAATGACTCTCGGGCTTCCGTGACGTCTGTATATCAGATATTTCTACTTTGACTGATTTGATTTTTTAGTGGCTCGAGAGTTGGAAATATCGGTCCATACGCTAGTATTTTAGTTTATGCGAACATAACCTTTCACATGCATTGATATGCGTGCCAAGCACGACTGGACCTCAGTTCCGGTGGGCGTAAATGTCGATCGTGCTTCAGCTGTATTCCGTACACAGTATCTTCTAGCAACAGTAAAGGATTCAGGAAAATTTATATCTCGCTCAGTATCCTTTTGTTGCTGAGACTTATATTAAAATACTTGCTCTTGTTTATCTTAGTCTGACTTATTTACTTATTGTTAAGCTTTAAATGTATGTGGAATAGTATCGATTATTATTAGGGTAATAAAACCACAGCAACAGCTAAAGGTTTTTTATTGTTACAACGATAAGAAGCTACGCAAAAAATAAAAAATTATATTATTTTTGAACAAAATTCTGCGGAATGCAAATAATAAAACACTACATAACTAATTACTATACACAATATATCTTTTTCATTGCGTAAATTATTAAACCGATATATATGAAAGGACACAGATATATCATACAATGTTTATATGTATTCTGGACAATATGCACATTTTAATCTTCGCCTGCTGGTATTGCGTCCTCCAGTCTCTTAACAAATTTGACACGTAACTCTGTCACATTGTCATTTTTAAGTTGATCCTGCACAAACCAACATGCAATTTCCATTTGTACCATTTCACAGGCACCTCTAAGTACACCAGTCAGTATGTTACAATACTTCAAGTTTGAACAGTTATCAGGCAATTCTACAAATTCTGTTAATGGATTTGTTTCGAAACATAGAGAAAATTCATCCCCAGCCGGACTCCAATTTGTTATTGATGGTGTTATGCCAAGAAATATCTTGAAGCCACTTTGTATCTTTTCTGCTGTATCTTTAAAATCGTAACATCGACCAGAACCGGTTCGCGCCAGGAAGTCTTCTATCAATCGAATTCCCATGTTGTATCCCATTCTCTCTAATTGCTTGTTAACATCTTCTACATTTTCATACTCCTTGAGCAACTGGGCTACAAGTGCACCGTATGTTAGGGTAAATAGTTCAGAGTTCTGTGAAAAACAAAAACCTAACGTTATTTTGTACTGCTACACATTAATGTTATGTTCTTTTTCAAAGAATTTTTTCCTTAAATAGCTTTTTAGAGTAAAAAAAAAAAACAGATGATCATAACCTTGCGATTATTTTGTTTTCTGTTCTTTAAATGTACTATTTACGTATTTGCAGAATCGGATATGACATCTGTTAATATTGAAACAATATTGTATTGTATTGTACTCATTCATAAAAAATAATGCGACACTTGCCACTTTTTTCGTATCAAGTTTCGTTCCTGTTCGTGACATGATGACAGTTGACGAATCTGGCACTTATGACATCGACTTGATAATTAGTAATTGTTTATTTTGAATATTTCAGTCTCATTTATTTGTATTTACAGAATATAAGATTCAGCACAACAATCGAAAAAGTAACTAAAGAGTTTAATTTTTTTAACTTCACAATGTCGATCCCATACGTGTATGTTTGTGTATCTCTTAAAATAAATGTCAAAAAGCCATATGTGTCGTATCACGACACATACAGATATGATTGGTTATTGAATAGAAATCTCAAGAAATTGACCAATCATGTTGGTCTGATTTGACCAACGTGATTGGTCAATTCTGTGAGACCTGCTATCTGCGACTCGCGTCTTATGTAGATATAGGCCTTAATACTAACCTCAAACTCCCTTATCAGACGACGAATTTTAAGATTCAACTTTATATTAGAAAATCAATCTCAAGGGAAGAACAAATCTCAAATTTAGTACATTTTATCCTAATTGACCAATTTAATTTCAATGCTATTTAATTTCCTACTATTATCTATTAACACGTAATAATACTGTTAATTTAATCTAATTTTTGGAACAAGAGCCTGCAATGTTTCTTTGCTTCGATGAAAAATTAGAACATGCTGTATATAGTTTAATTCACTGATAAATGTTCGATGGTTTCTAGTTGTTCCAGTTCAATCTTTTTTAGCGAGTCATATTGCACTCTCAGTCTTTCCAGCTCCATAGATTTTTCCAAAATCAACGCCTGTAAGAAAACACACGAGAATGCACTACTAATATATGTCACAATCAGTTTTCTCGCAAAAGTAATTTAAAAAACCTGCATTTGTTGTTTTTGCGCCTCTCTCTGTTTCGAAACGGAACGTAATAAATTTCGTGCACCGATTGTCTTCATCTTTTCTTTTTCTACTTCCGTTGCCATATTATCCAATATTTTAATAAATTCATCGGAATTTTTCTCAAATTCAGTAATCTCTGCAAAATAAATGTCATTTAATTACCGACGTACGTACACACGCGCGAGCGCACGCACATATGCGTGTGCGAGCAGAAATAACTCAAACAAGATGTCTTCGATATTAGAAATTATTTATTATAAAGTAAGAATATTTAAGTTAAAACTTAAGTCAGTAAAAATTTAAGAATTTAATAATCGGTAAGTACTCAGTAAAAAAAAAAAACGTAATTGCTATATGTTGCATCTTTGAATTTTTATTCTTTACACAATTTTAAATACTTGATTTGATTTGGTACGTGTCACTCAATTTTTTAATATATTATAACGCAATCATAAAGTTTGTAATAAGCGCTACTCGGGAATGCATGTGCTGTTTTTTGCGAGGTTCAAGTGAACAAACAACGGTGACGTACGTAAGTGAGCAGCAACGCGCAACAAGCGAGTGCTATGGAGTAGTGTCATGTAAATAAAATTCAAGTAAATGTTAGGTTGCTCGCTGGCGTCACTTACTCGACACAAAATTTTGACATTCCTCTTTCAGTTTGTTTGTTTGATTAGCCGCTTCCGGTTCTAAAACGCGTATTTTGCTCAAATCATCGATGTAAATGCCATACTTTGCCAATGAGTCGGCCATTTTCTCGCGTCCTCTTAAATCTCGGGTAGAAAAGAAACTCGAGAGTCACTTCATTCAAAATAAACGTCAGTTCAACGATTCTGTTCGAACTCGATTTTGATTGGCTCGATCGGTCAGTGATACCAGAGAGAAGCCTGAGAGCAGCCAGGTCCATAAGAGAATATGTCTGTTCGTTTTACTTGAACTGGCCGCTCTAGGTCAGAGTTTATCTTCTTTACTCTACGTTGGAAAAAGAAGGATGAACTCTGACCTAAAGCGGCCAGTTCAGGTAAAACGAACAGACATAATGTCTGTTCGTTTTACCCGAACTGGCCGCTCCAGGTCGCTCCAGGTCAGAGCCCATCCTCTTTACTCTACGTTGGAAAAAGAAGGATAAACTCTGACCCAGAGCGACCAGTTCAGGCAAAACGAACAGACCTATAATGTGTAATCACTTTTCCGCCCCGTAAACTAGCGCATGTCCACGGGTGGTACACATTGGAACTACGCAACCAGTCCACGAGCGACATGTCGGTGCGCTATGTCCACAGCGTGCGGTTCTATTCTGTGCTATGTGCACGAGTTTAAATGGTCACTTTCTTTAAGTGTGTGAGTATATTCGAGAGCGTAAATTTGATTTTTTTTTGAAATTTAAAATGACCGATCTCGCGATGAGAAGATGAGAAAGGAAAACAGAAAAGGATAAGAAAAATCATTGCAACTTTTCGTACAACATAAATGTGATATACAAAAAAAGATGTGATAGTCAAGAAAAGAATATTATTTTAGCTAGCAACATCAGAAATTCGTTGAGTGTAGTAAACATAATCTTCTTTACATCATCATTTGCTGCTCTGTGCTTTATAAATTTTATTTTATTTTCTTAAAAATACTACATATATACAGGGTGTCCCAGAATTGGTTTAACATCTCTCGTAGGCAGGTAGAAGGAATAAAACTGAGGTTAAAAGTCCTATACCATTTTGCTAGATTCGCAATAGTTACTGAGATTTTAATTAACAAAGATCCGCTAATAAGCGTGCATCGGGCTGTCCAGGGGATTCAAACTCGCCTCTTGTGAGAAGGGGAACGCTGTTTTCAGCGCCGCCTGGGCTAGGTCCCCGGAAGTAGTGAACTAAAGAACGAGTGGTGGGAGGTACCGCCATATTTAAACCGTCGCACGTGCGTGCCAGTATAGGTATACTTATACAGCAAATTCGATAGTCTGTACTAGTACGCATTGAGTGCGACTTTTTTAATGAAACTTTTTTTGGAAGTTTCATTGAAA